GCAATGGCAATCATCCAGATGCTTCTCCAGCCTCATCTGCTGTCTCATTCTTTGAAATACATATTCCATTCTCTAAAAAATACCCCATTTAGATGAAGGAAACAAATAATTTGTCTTGATTACAAGACACCATAATATTTGCTTTAAGCTTCCTGAAGTTTAATTACAGAACAATCACAGTGCTTTGAGGAAGATGTGAGAGGCTTTTCTGCAGAAATGTTTTGCTGATGGCTCTTTCAAAAGTACTGGGGATGGGAGAAGACATGCTAGAAAGTAAAACTGTAACAAAGTTAGCTTAACAAAAGTGGGGCAGGAGAGGGGGTGAGCTAACCGGAATAGAATGAATGACTTGAAACAAAATAAACAGCTTCTACATAACATTTCCCTCAGTTTCCATTAAAGTGCTCTCCCCGTGGTACTGAACTAGAACTAAACTAGCCCCTGAACTAGACAGTAAGAACTTGTAAACCATCTCTTTTCCCACATATATGCAAAACTGCCACAAAGTTAACATGATGGAGAAAAAACCCCAGCAAAACAAGAAAAAACAGCAGTAAGACAGCTCATTGTACACATCCACAAGGACACTATTTTATGCAAATTTTGTTTTGCTTGATACTGTTATATAACTTCAAGGGAGTTTAGTCATTCCATATGGTCCTGGCAAACAGTCTGCAAGGACAAATACATATGTCTGCCTTGTGCTTCAATTGCTTTAATAGACAAGATATTTATTTTCTAAGTAACCTTCCTTTACATAAGCATTTGTACTGGAGTCACCTCTAGCATTTCTAAGGGAAAGTATGACACTAAGCCTTACTTTAAGAAAAGTCTTCCTAAAAGGGTTCACCATGTGCAAGGAGTAAGTGTCCTCAGAAGTGGTCCAACATGAGGATTACATTTTGAGAGTTGATGGATTCTATGTAGATCATACCAGATGGAAACGTTTACATCCCAGCTGCAGAACTACATTGCTAGTTGTTCCTGGCTCTCTAAAAGCACCACCAACCCAAATCTATTCCACCTTGAACAAAGGAAGCTTGCTTACTGCTAGTGCAGAAGGTTCACATGCATGTTGCTGTCTATCTTCGGTGAAAAACACTACTGTTATTTACTCACGTGAATTTATGAGGAAACTGAATTTTCCTAATATGAGATGTACAAGAAGATTCTCCCATACTTCACAAGAGGACTTCTCCCTAGTGACCACCACCACTTGAGAAGAAATTAAAGCACCTGGGGTACCCTTGGAGGAGGGGAGTAAGTGTCTGCTGTAATGTTTTTAGTTCACTTCTTTAAAAACAGGTCTGTACACACCCCAAATAACATTTGAAGTTAGTCAGTGAACACAGACAAGTTTGGTAGCTCTAGGTCATGAAAGATGAAACCAGGTGTTCTGTTAAATCAATCAACTGAAAAGATGATGCCAAAATTCAGCTACTTCTGTAGTCTTACCAAATCATTTGCACTGGCATCAGCCAGTTTCTGAGGCAGAGCCTGGCAGCTACCAAAACAGGCTGCAGGAATTACAGGTGTAATACAGGAAGTAATCACATAAATGTCTTTGTATAATTCAGTTAAATAGCCCATGGGAAGACCTCATCCAGGCTCAATTAGATCTGCAAATCACAGTGGTAGTTTAACTGTCATTATTAATGCCAGATGCCCTATGATATTCACATGAGATGCCAGAAATATGTATCCTACAACATGAACAAAGAATTGTTGCAACTTTAAAGCTGAGAAAACAGTATCTCAGAGGCCAAGCAATAACAAAAGCAAGTTTTCCTCTTGCAAATGTCCACCTTAAAAAAGAAACAAGGAATTGCAACTGCCTTGATGTAACATTTCCAGGCATGTTTCTTGTCTCCTCTATACAGTGAGGGAAGACAGCCACACTCATTTTCTCTTTTGCACATCCAAGAGTAGTCTGTGGGGCCAGCAACCTAGAAGAATGATACCATGGGGCCAACCAAGGAAGATCTCTCTGCCTCCTCTCTGCTGGAGAGAGACAGGACAGCAACACTTGTGGCTGAGCCCTCTCAGTAATACAGAGCCCGTTCTAAGCAGCATGCCCAGGTTTAAGGAAAACAGCATGACTTGCTGAAATGCAGCAAAAGCCATGATTTCTGAGAGACGTGCCAGTAACTCACAGCCAGTTTCTTGTGAGGCGAGAGGATCTAAGCAAGAGGGCAAAATTGTAAAGGTTATTAAATAAGCTAGAGAGAAGCACGTAACCCTTTTAAAGACAGAAGTAGTCTTTCCTATCATGTCAATTTGTGTCAGTTTTAGAAGCATATGGGTATCTTGTGCAGTCTCACCACAGTCATAAATGGAAAAGGCTTCTTTGGTCTAGAATCTCTGTATCTGAGTGAAAGATTTCTGAGAAATAAGGAGTGGGGTTTTCTTGAGCCAAAACAAACAAAAAAAATATCACCTTACTTACTGCTCAAACTACCCCAGTGAGCTTCATCAAATATTTAGTAAGACTACTATTTATTGCCTCTGCATTGTCGTCACATACACATATTGTACTGCATTTGCTTCCAGCATCACCACCTGAAGTCTAATTTCTATGTGCACTAATATTAAGAAAAATCACACCTAGATGCTTCTCAGAAAGGCCATTTGGTCAGTATATGCTATCTCCTCCCATGAAGCCATGATGATTAATAACAATTTCTGTACATATTCTGTCTTGCCAACAGAGCTCATAAGTCTTATGTTGTGGCACCTTTTACAACTTTGAGATGTCAATTCCAGAAGCTTGTGCTGAGAGAGAACATGATTAAAGACTCCCAGCTCCCTTACTTTCCCTAAATTAAAGGCGGAAGGTAAGATCAGCTCACAGAAAATACAGTCTCTGAAGGTCATGAATACTTCTTAGCAAGTTCTCAATTAAAAGCAATTCAAATATCATCTGCCTTGGCTATGCTGATGCCCTGTGACCAACTTACAGAGCTTTTGATTTCTGCAGCTCAGCTACCAAGAAAGTTCTTTATACCTCCTCCACAATTTAACCACAGAATTGCAGAATCATTTAGGCTGGAAAAGATCTCTAAGTTCATTGAGTCCAACCTTTGACCAATCACCACCTTCACAACTAGACTAGGGCACTGAGTGCCACATCCAGGTGTTTCTTGAGCACTTCCAGGGATGGTGACCTTACCACCTCTCTGAGTGCCCATTCCAATGCTTAACAACCCTTTCCATGTTCTTCTGATGTCCTCCTCCTGACTCAGCCTGAGGCTGTGTCCTCCCTCCTGGCTGCCTGGGAGAAGAGGCCAACCCCTATGCTGCTTGTGAGGTATCAACCACTACTTCCTTTTCCTCACCAGTTTCTGCCCATTCCCCACCATCCAGAGCACATAAGGAACAGCTCAGCCCATATGCCTGACTTGGACACCTGAATTACTCAGCCTTACTGTTCACGTAAACACACTCCAGCCACAGGAGCAGCAGCAGACTTCTGGTTGCCTGGATTTCTTCCTAGGTTTCCTCTGACTCCCACAAACAATAGGCATTTGCACACCCATGCACCTACAATCAATTTCTTAATGAAAATACTTCTTATCAGCACCTTGCTTGTAAACTTGCTTTGCATCTAGTATTTCTTTGGAATTGGGACAGGAAGGGGAAAAAAGCCCACCAAGAAGAAACCTCCAAGTCTGATAACAATGTAGGCACCAGACTCTGATGCACTGTATTGCACATTCTATCATTTCCTTAGCAGTCAAAGGCAGCACTGCCAACAGACGACTAACCAGAAGGCTGAGCAGCCTGAACACACTGAAACCTGTCGCCAAAAAAATTCACAGCAGTTTCACCTACTCAGATATATCATGCAATTAAGAAGAAATGAAGATTAAAAAAAGAGAGAAAACCATGTTTTTTTATTATTATTAATATTAGTTACTATGTGAAAGAAAATTTCTGCACTAGCTGTTCATTTAACAGCCCAACATTTCCATAAGATCTTGTAGGAGAAAAAAGAGAGGAAAAAAAAATTCTAAGCCAAAGATCTATCAGACATGCATAACTTCAAGTATCTCCACTGCAGAACTCCAGGAAAAAAAAAAAAAAAAAAAAAAAGAGTTTACACACACAGAGCTTTCTGTTGGGTAACATTCTCTTAAGAGAAATGAAAGGTAAACCTCAAAATATACCCAGCATCAGTACTGTGGATGTTCCACATCTACAATGGATTGAAAACCCTTCCTGGGCTGGTCCTAGGTGGTCATTTCATTGGAAGACAGTGCGACATAAGTCTTTTCAAAACAATATTTTCATGTACAGCCCTCTCCCCAAACATCAGTAAGACAAAAAACCGTAGAACAGAAGCACTGTAAGACATGATCTGAAAGTGACAGCCTTAGTCACAACTGGCACTACTAACAGTAGTGTTAATTCAATGGTACTCTCAAATCTCCTATTACCTATTATTTATGTGTGCTTTCCGGCTGGGGAATCTTTGCTCAACTTATTCTAACCTTACCCTTTTGGGGTATTAACTATGGTACTAACTCCCTAAGGAGTTAGGACCACAAAGATACTAGAAACTCAAGTCTGTTCCGAAGATGCAGCAGCCAGTGCTGGCAACAGAAAACGCGCTCCCGCCCCTCGTTCATTCACCTTGCAAAGGCCATCAGAAAAACAAACTATGCAGTCCGCATCCTAAAGTTGCCAGGCCGGCCTTAAACAGGTTACATCTGCGCGAAAACATGGAAAGACACATGGAAAGAATCAGCGCACACCGCCCCGGCCGTGGCGGGGGACGCGCTGGTTTGCGTTTCGCTCTTGGAGACGCGCCTTGGCTCCTCTCGCTCCGGGATGAGGGAGGGGAGGCGACACCTCCGGGAGCCATCCCCCTCAACATCCCCACGGGGATTTCGCGGGGACCGTCCCCCCCAGCCCAGCGCCGCAGCGGGTCGGGAGGCCCGGGGAGCTGCCCGGGGCGGCGGTTCGCCACGGCCCCGCGGGACGGGGACGCGGCCACTTACAGCTCAGGAGCCCCACGACAAGGAGCAGCAGACGGCGGCTCGCCATCTTCCCGCGGCGGCGGCGTGGGGCGGTGCCCGGGGCCGGGGGCTCAGCGCCCGCCGAGCTGCCACAGCAACCCGCCGTGCTCTGCCGCCTCCGGAGCCGGAGCCGCCCCAAACTTTTAACGTGTCCGAGGAGGCGGCTCCTCGGAAGGCAGGAGCCGGGGCTTGAGGCGGGGATGTGCCCTGGCCGCCCGCCCGCCCCAGAGCGGGGAGCCGCGGCTCCGAGAGCATCCCTCTCCTCTGCCGCCCCCGCAATGCCCCCGCGCATCCCGGGGACTGTGCTGTCTTGAGTCCAGAAGTTCTCCTCTCCGTTTTGTTAATTTATTTATTTTTAAGCTGGGATATCTTCATAGACTCAAGGACATTTGTTGCAACAGAATAAACTTTTCGTTAGGAAAGGATTCGGTTTCTCAAAGAAGAGCGTTGTCCCTGTTGGTGCGTTTCCCTCAGGCAAATCCCCCCAGGGAGGAAGTAGGGATAACGGGCTGGAATCACGGAACAAACATTTGGATATTCCGGCTAATAAAAAAAGCCATGTGAGGGCGAGGCGCTGTTTTAAGGCGAAAGAAGTCACAGTGACTCCTTGTGCCTCTCTGTACAGCTGGATTGGACAGAATCCCACCTACAGCAGGAGATGGGTCACACGGTGACCTTCAAAGCATTTTTATTATGTTATTATTTTATACCAGACTAGGAGAGTTTTTTGTTAAATATACAGGTGGTGTAACGGTTCTTTAAATTTATGAATCAAGGAAAATTACTAATCTTGACAGTTAATAGTGTATCCGAGTAGTTTCCAGTGACATCTTAAAAATGCATTACCACTGATGTAATGCAGTTCTATAACAAGAAAAGTATCACAAGTATTTTTTTTTTTTGGTAATCAGAACAGCAATGTCGGCTATATTTTGTTAGAGAGCAACAAAATGAAGCAAGATAATTTATAAATAAAATCTCTAACAGCTATTTTAACAGAGAGCAAAGAAGTAGGATGCCATGATGCTCTTCATGGCAAAATCTTCTTAGTTTATTTCGAACATGGAAAAAAAATCTATACAGAACACAAGTAATATTTCTTTTAAAAAATCTGCATACATATATGTATGTATGTATGTATGTTCACTATATGTTACTGGCATTATGACATGCATTTAATAAAATCAAAACTGTCCCATTGAAAACAGAAAAGTTTTTTGTGTGTCCCATCCCATCATAGCTTTAGGCAAGTACAAAGGTTCATTGATTTCAGTAGGGCTGTTTTACTATTTAGTCAGACAATGATGGAAATGTTTTCTTGATATAACATTTAAATATGCCAAGAGTCTGGTGGAAAAGTTATAAACATGGGGAATGTTAGGAAATGGCAGTATGGAATTAAAGGATAGGCGATAGGATGTTATTAATACTGATGGTTGATGAAAAATTAACATGCCCTGGCTGTGTGTGCTGGGAGCCCAAAAACCCCCCTGTTTGCCAGGCTGCATCCAAAGCCCCGTGGGCAGCAGGGCAGGGAGGGGATTCTGCCCCTCTGCCCCGCTCTGCTCAGACCCCACCTGCAGGGCTGCATCCAGCTCTGGGCTCCCAGCACAGCAAGGACAGGGACCTGCTGGAGCCAGGCCAGAGCAGGCACCGAGGGGATGGGGGGCTGGAACACCTCCTGGATTAAGGCAGGCTAAGAGATCTGGGGCTGTTCAGCCTGGAAAAGAGAAGGTTGCATGGATAACTCCCAGCAGCTTTCAAGTATCTGATGGGAGGCAGGAGAGGGATTCTTCATCAGAAAATGTAGTCATAGGACAAGGAATAATGGGTTCAAACTGAAAGAGGGAAAACTTAGGTTTACACATGTGGAAGAAATACTTTACAGTGAGCATAATGCATGGATTGCCCAGAGCAGCTGTGGCTGCCTCATCCCTGGAAGTGTTCAAGGCTGGGTTGGATGGGGCTCTGAGTGACCTGGTCTAGTGCAAGGTGTCCCTGCCCATGGCAGGGGGTGGAATGAGATGGACTTTAAGGTTCCTTCCAACCTAAAGCTTTCTGTGATTCTGTGAGTCATTAACACAGCTCTTATACTATAGTAAATCCATTTAAATGAAAAGGTTTTATACAAGCATGAGGTCAGACTAAAGTTACTTTCTTCTGTTCGCTATTTCGTTTCTCTTGCAAGTGAAGCAAATTCCTAGTGTTTCCCCCACATTTCTCTGACTTTTTCTAGTACAGCTAATATTTTCTTTCCATTCCCTTCTTTTATTTCAGCAATGACTAGATCATAGTTTCTCTGCTTGCTTTATACAACTACAGGAAACACCAGCAATTAAATGTTAGTATTTTGAAGGCATTTACAGGATTACTGGAAAAGTGGTTGCAATACATATAGTTAATTTAATACATACAGTTTTTATCTATGTCCTTTGCTCAACAATTGTATTCTTAAAAATCCTATTAAGTATTTTATTAGAAGGGCACAAGACTGCTATCCATATTTTTTACCTTTTAAAGTTGGAGTAGAAATGTTTTCATTAAATAACACATAGAGACCAAAATGGAAGGATTTGTTTGAGATGCAAAGTTTAACAGTTATTCTTGGAGAACTTTCCATAGACACTCCTTTTTAGAATAATAAAAATAGTCTATAATTAACATCTGCACACAAAATGCTAGTCAAGAATAGCTATCTTATTTTGAGATAGCTGTTCTAGTATATCTAGTATGTCAAGTTCTTTGTATAGAAAAGCCTTGAAAAATGGAGTGTAATTGCAACATGATTTCAAGATTTGGATGTTCTGTAACAATCCCAGGAATTAATAAATTGAAAGACTGCCCTCATTTTATTAAGCAATATTTTAGATAAATCTACATTCTTACATTGCAATGGAATTCTTCCTTTTTTAAATGAAAATTTCTATTGCAAATGTGAAGTGCTAATGATAATCTCTTTTAATAATGAGTTTACCTTTTATTATTGCAGCATCACTCTGTTACGGTCCAATTTTTAAAATTACTAGAAATGCCTCTGCTTGAATTAAGGTGCAAACAAGACCATATGCCAATGTCAATAATATGGGTTTTATTTAATTATAAATATGAGAGAGAGAGAGAAAGAGAGAAGGAGAGAGAGAAAGAAAGGAATAGAAAAGAGGTGGCGGGACAGAGAGTGACAGAGACAGATCAAAGAAAGTATCACTGCTTTGTGAATTCCAATGTTCTGTTGATCCTCTCAAGCAGGTTGTCTTGGTGGTGAGGGTCCCCCCTGAAAAGCATAGAATCCAATGGATTAATATACACTCAGGCCAGGCCAGCTGAGAATGCCCAGGTACCTCCCCTGGAAGGAGGCAGTCTCTTGCAGCAGGCTCTGGATCTGTTGCATCATTTTGCATCCATGCAGTCCTGTGGTGCAAGGTCTCTGGAGCACACTTTCAGGATCTTTGATGGATTATGCACCCCACCCCCAGCTGCCTCCCATGTGAATGTCCCATGGATGTGGCCTGTGGGGTTGGGGGTTTCACAGCTGGGCTGGTTTGTGTAAGGGAGGATGGGTTTCACTGCCTCTGACCAGAGGTTCCACCACACATCTGAAACCTCCTCCTCAGCCCTTGGTTGTGGGGAGTCTGTGCAAACCTGGCCTCTGTGGGCTGTGGTCTCCCCATCCCAAAGCCAGCCAGGGATGGTCCTCTGCTGCGTTTGGCTTTCTTGTGGATGCATTCATTTCCCTCAGCCTTGTTTGTTTCTCCCCAGACTTGAGATGATTGAACATAATGTTGCATTTTTCTTATCTAGGCAGCTTAACTCACAGTGTAAAGTTCCAGTCAGGCATCTTCAGGGAGGGATAGGCTTCTGAGCCTATACAGTTTTTGCTATAATGGGCAAAACTCCTTTATAACAATGTTTAAGGCATGAACCACTTCAGTCCCTGACACACTGTCGAAGAATTCTGTTCTCCTCACCTAACAGAAAAACTGTTTTGAAAAATAATTTGTAAAAATTCTGTGAAAGACCATAAGCATCTAGCTCTTCACTTGGGAAACATTTCATCTTTCTTAGCTGTAGGATGCTAGAAATTAATCAAGAGAAATTAAGTTATGAGAATTCTCCTTTTGATGATTTCTCCACTCAAAATATATTTTATTTTTCAGGAGGAACAAAATCTCTCTAGATTTATTCTTCTACAATTTGCATGTTGATTTCTAGAATAGCTTTGATGTAAAATAACAATAACAAAAAATCAGTACAACAAATTAGAACTGCTAAATTTGGTTGCAAAGGTGTTGCAATGTAGGTACTCAAACACCTATCACAGATAGATTAGCAAGGAAGATGACTGATTCCTCTTCTCAAACACCTGCATAGAAGAGGGGCAAAAGCAGTGCAGTACATGAAGAAAACTGGCTGTTTAATTAGCACCTTGAAGAGTAAGATGCTAATTTCTATGGAATCTCTTCTTTGTTATGGCTTACATATGCCAGACTAGAAGATAGTTGCAGGAGAGATAATGAATGTTCATCCCTGCACTGCCATTAAAAATAACTTTAGAAAAAAAATTTAATGAAAGACAGTGTTTCCCTAGTCAGTCACATTCAGGCATATCTCAAGTTTACTCATTGAATTTAAGCAGATTAAATAATGCAACCCTCATTCCATGTAAGAAAGCACATATTTTTATCCTGTTGATAAGCAGGTAGTATAGATGTCTGATGATCTGGGAGTAGCTGTTCTTTTGTCTGCAGAGTGAAATGCCAGTCAAAGCATAAAGGATTACAGTTCTGTGCTGCTTTTCCTTTTTGTTCCTGTGCTTTCCTACCATGATTGTGCTTTAAATGTTTTAGTGTCTCTTGGTTCATCTATAATAGAAGATAACCCAGCAAGTTTGCTGATAACTGTGCCTGATAATTGTAAGAGTAGCAGTGGGGAAGATGTAGAATATGGAGCCCCAAAGGGAGAAAATGAAAGACACAGGAAAAAAAAGTATTCCTGTGCATAAGCATGCCTATCATTCTTTATATGGACAGTTGAGAGCTTACTGTTGTTGGAACTCACAAGGTTCAGGCTTTGATCAAGAAGATACCTTTGAATATTTTACCATATTTTTAATGAAGAGGAAACAGATTTTTTCATATTTCTAAAAAGAGAAATGTTATGTTTGAGATGGTCAGAGATGCCATTTGAGATTTGGTGCCATAGCCTGTGCATAAGATCTCTGTACACATCTTTTTTCTAAGCACACTACATTGTTGTCACATATATTTGCTTTAATAAATGCTGAATACAGTAGCACACAGCTGTGAAGTGACCATTCTGATGTGACTCCAGGCATAGCTAAGGAACAAATTGGTGGAATAGTATTTTGTAAAACTGCTAAAACAGACTCCATTTAATTTAGCTCAATTGCCAATATGTCTTTTTTACAATCCATATCACAATTTTTTTTTCTAAAATCCATTGACTGATGCACTATGCACTTTTTGTGCAGCTTTGACTGCCAGCCTGCAGTACACTGAATCTATCAGCTTGAAAACCTTGTCCTTTAGTGTAAAGAATAATCAGCAGCCATATGTAAGTGTGTAGACAGGCTGATATTTCCAATTTAAGGGACACTTCTTTTCTTTTGCCATTTTAGTTATCACCACACCTGTTTTGTTACAATGTCCTGGGGTATTGCTTTAATGCCTGTCCACTCCCCTGGTTACAGAAGGCCTTGTCTCCTTTTCAGTTCTGTGGCTTTTGATTATTTTTTATAGCTGCTTCATGTGAATTATTTTAACTCACATCTGGGGGAAAAAACCCTGATTTATCTGACAAATTATCTGCTTGTTTTGTAATTTGAAACTAAAAACTAAGTGAGCAAGTATATTTTTGAGAAAAGAAGCAAAAAAATATTTTCAGATACTTTTTTTTTACAGTCATTGATGGCTGTTTAAAGACACAGCATGCCATGGATTAGTTGCCAGGCTGTAATGCAATGGACTAGAGTAGTGATAGAACACTGTATTGCTATTAAACTGTTAAAATATTTAATATCTACTGGGACTGCCAAACCTGAACCAAGAAGGACACAAAATGTGAGGGTAGAACAAGTAAAGAGCAATACAAATTACGTGTTCTCAGTCGTGTTTTTCAGTGTAACCCCCTACAGCCCACCTTCATTTTCTGGAATGTTTTGTATGAGTTTATATTTGATTTGCAAAGTACAGAATCAATGCCTTTTACTTTTTTTTTTTTTTAAACTGAACTTTCAAGATTACTGCCACTGAGTAGGCAGCTCAGTAGCAATTAAAGGTACATTTCCAAAAATGATCCATCACATAGGATGGCATTGTGGGACAGAATTCAGCCTAAGCAACAGTGGACAATTCATTAGCCACAATCCTGCTGGTGGAGAATTCAGAGTTATTTTGCCACAGTGTTCATAATGCTTTACTGCTCACTAGGTAAAAGCATGCCTGGATGGCAGAGCTCAGATTTTTCACAGAAGGGTTGTAAAGCATTGAAATGGGATGCACAGAGAAGTGGTGGTAGTGTTTAGAAAATAAGTAGATGTGGTACTTTGTCATATGGTTTAGTCGATGTAGTGGTATTCAGTTAAAGATTGGACTTGATGGTCTTGGAGGTCTTTTCCAACTTCAATGATTCCATGATTCTATAATTCTATGGTGTTATGAAGAATACACCTCATAAGATGTAGTTACACTGCATGTTGTCTTACAAGGCTTTTTCTGCTTCTGGCCATGGATTACTGTTCTCACTTTGCTTGTGCATGAAGATTAGTAAAAGAAATAATGTTAATCATATGAATAAAACATTATCTTTCAGCAGTACTCATCCTGCAAACGGTATCACTTTAGCAACCTTGCATTCAGTGCTACAGCCTCTGTCTCAGGCACATGGTGGTGGGATTCATGGAGTTGTCCTGTGCAGGGCCAGGAGCTGGACTGCAATCACAGTCATAGATTCACAGACTAGTTTGGGTTGGAAGGGGCCTTGAAGGTCATCTAGTTTCACGGACAGGGACACCATTCAGTAAACCAGGTTGCTCCAAGCCCCATCCAACCTGGCTATGAACAATTCCAGGGATGAGGCAGCCACAGTTTCTCTGAGCAAACTGTACCAGGGCCTCACCACCCTTGCAGGAAAGAATGTTTTCCTTATATCTCATGTAAACCTACTCTCTTTCAATTCAGGCCATTTTTCCTTCTTCTGTCACTACAGAATTGTAGTGACAATTGCTTATCTTTTCTGCAAGTTTTCTGCAGGTGCCGGAAGGCCACAATTAGGACACCCTAAAGCTTTCTCTTTTCCAGGCTGAACAGCCCCAGATCTCTTAGCCTGCCTTAATCCAGGAGGTGTTCCAGCCCCCCATCCCCTCGGTGCCTGCTCTGGCCTGGCTCCAGCAGGTCCCTGTCCTTGCTGTGCTGGGAGCCCAGAGCTGGATGCAGCCCTGCAGGTGGGGTCTGAGCAGAGCGGGGCAGAGGGGCAGAATCCCCTCCCTGCCCTGCTGCCCACGGGGCTTTGCATGAGCACAGGGCCGAGGAATGTCCAGCCTGTCACCCAGCGGGGTGAGACTGTCACAAGGCTGTCATGAGCGGGTCCCGTCCAAGGCAGGGCACGTTCCGTGCCTCGGCGCTGACGGCGGCACCAGGGCGCGCCCGGCGGCCGCGCGCGGCACGGCGGCGGAACGGCGCGGCCGCGGCCGGTGTTGCGGGCGGAGCGCGGGGAGGTGGCACCGCGGCTGCGAGAGCATGGCCGCGCCCTGGGCCGCCCGCGGGCTGCGGGCCGCCAGACGTGAGTGAGGGAGGGAGGGAGCAATTAATGCGGGAGGGAGCCGGGAGCCGGGAGCCGTGAGTGCGGGGCCGGGCCGGGCTCGGGCTCGTACTGCCGCGGTGCTTTCAGGGGCTGAGGTGCCCTTATTAGGCCGCGGGGGAGCTGGCCTGTCTGAGGGAAGGGCCTTTGCAGCCAGGGAGCGACATTAACCTTTGCAAACGACCAACTACCCAGAGTAGTTAGGGTTGGAAGAGACTTCTGGAGATCATCCAGTCCTGCCAGGGCAGGGTCACCGCGAGCAGGTGACACATATCCAGGTGGATTTGGAATGTTTCCAGGGAGATACTCCACACCCTCCCAGGGCAGCTTATTCCAGTGCTCTGCCCCTCTCCACGGAAAGAATTTCTTCTTCGTGTTGAAGCGAAACTTCTCGTGTTTTAGTTTATGGCCATTGCTTCTCATCCTGTTGCTGGTCACTACTGAAAGGAGTCTGGCACCAACCTCTTGGCACCCACCTTTGAGATATTTATATGCATTATTTCAGATATTTATATGCGTTAATGAGATTCCCTTTCAGTCGTTTCCTCTCCAAACTAAACAGGCCCAGCTCCTGCGGTCCCTCCTCACAAGAGAGATGCTTGAGACCCCTCATCATCTTTTTGACTCCTTTTCTTGCCTCAGTGTCCTGTTGTGACTTTGGGCAGGCAGTGCAGGGGCCCAGCGTGGCCACTTGCTGGAGCTGCAAAAGTGCTACCTTGTACATACTGAGACAATAATATAAAATATAATAAAAAATATAATAAAAAACATGGTGGGTGGTCGGTAGTGCTGTAGAAACCAAAACCTGATAAAGAGGCTTTGAAAACTCAGGATGGGTCACAGAATGGTTGAGGTTGGAAGGGGCCAGAGTGGGCCAGCTGGACCAACCTCTGTGCTCAAGTAGGATCATCCCAGAGCACATGGCACAGGATTGCATCCAGATGGTTCTGAAATATCTTCAGTTAGGGAGACTCCACACCCTCTCTGGGCCATCTGTTCCAGTGCTTGGTCACTACAGGAAAATTCTTCATGTTCATGTGGAACTTCTGTGCAACTGTTTCTGTCCCTTGTCCCATTGCTGGGCACCACTGAGCAGAGCCTGGTCCCTGCTCTGGCCCCTCCCTGCAGGCACTGACAGACACTGATAAGGTCCCCTCTCAGTCATCTCCTCTTGAGGCTGAGCAGCCCCAGCTCCCTCAGGCTTTCCTCATGAGAGGGATGCTCTGCTGGGCTCACCCCAGGATTGCTTGCTCCGGGATTATTGCTTACTCAGTGTCTCTGCTGTCACAGGGTACATCTCCACACCAGCCTGCTCTCAGCTGACACCTGATGAGGTGGTTCGGATGCGTAATGAGCTCTTCACCAAAGAGAAGGAGAGACAATTGTCTCTTCACCCACGGATTGAGAAAATTGAAGTGAAATACACCGGGAAGCAGCACCCTGGCAGTGTGTTTGTCATGAACAAGGCTCTGTCTACGCCGTATAACTGTGCCATGCGTAAGTGGATGGACTTCTGACCTAGCCCCTCAGGGTGGATGTAGTCCTGCCAATTGAAATAGAAACAGTTAAATTGTTGGAGGTTTTGTTTCACAGTTCACCCTTCCAGGTCATCTACAAATAGGAGACTTGCAGTTGTTAGAAATGCAGCAGTCTGAACTGCAGATCCTGAAAAATGTGGTCAATAACTAACTAATACTTCAGATTACTTTTTTTTTAAATTTTCTTTAGATTTAAGTGAATGGCATTGCAAGAACTCTGTTCTGGCTTTTGTGGATGGTGAAATCTGGGACATGTACAGACCCCTGACCAAATCATGTGAAATTCAGTTCCTTACCTTCAAAGATGAAGATCCAGAGGAAGTAAACAAGGTAAATTATTACCTTGTCCCGTTGTAGGTGACCCTGGTTCTCTGTACCTTGTCTCATTGCGGGTGGCCCTAATTATGACTTCTTGATTCTGTGTGCACCTTCCAGTTCCATGCCTGTCTGCTTTCTTGAGCTTTGTTGTCATTAAAGTTCATTTTAAAGACATTTTTAATCTCTTTTTAATGGTGCGCCATGGCTATCATTAGCTGGACTAGTGTGTGGGCTGGGTGAATTGTTGGCTTTCCATTCAACTGTTGTATTATTCTGGGATTTCAGATTTAAATATCTCTAGGGTTACATCTGGCTTGCATTCTAAGTGCAGTTTTGATTTTTTAATTTTATTCTGTTTGGAGAATCATCTCTGAATAGAAGTCTAAGAAAGTAATCATAGAAAGAAAGTAATCATAGAAAGAAAGTAATCATAGAATAATGGAAAAGCTTGGGTTGGAAGGGGCATTAGAATCTCATCCAGTTCCACCTCATGCCATGGGCAGGGATGCCTCCCACTAGACCAGGTTGCTCAAAGCCCTGTCCAGCCTGGCCTTGAACACTTCCAGGGGTGGAATACTTGGGTTGACAGCTAATCCAGTTAAGTTTTTGGGGGATTTTTTTGGAATAAAAAAATCTTCTAGGCATTAAATTCGTGTTCTGAAATTCTCTTTGCAGGCGTACTGGCGTTCCTGTGCCATGATCATGGCGTGTGTGCTAAAGCGAGCGTTCAAGGATGAGTACTCTGTCAACCTCGTTAAAGCTCCAGAAGTGCCAGGTGACAAAAGTGTTCTATATCGATTGTCTTCTGCTGCTTCTCAAGAGAGTGTTTAATAACCAAACTTAGAAAAACAATTATTTCCAATGACTGATGGTACTTAGCATTGGAATGTGTATTACATGCTGTTGTAGTTGCCTTTAATTTATAATAACCACACTAAAAACAATTTTGTTATTAATGTTCAGAAAACAGGTCCGTGTGGCCACTGGGTTTCAGACCACTTAGGATTTTAGCTGAAATTAGTAACTGAACCTCTGTATTGTGAAGTGACATGAGCAAGGTTTCTAGATGTGATGAGACATGTTTCTGTGGAATTTGCTCTAATAACTGCATAACCTTGTGCATCACTTCAGTTTCTAAAAATAACAATGTCTACACCAAACTGGAAGATTATTGAGGCACGAACAAGCTTAGTAACAACTTCTGCTCATCCATGATCTGATTTAAGATTTAGAAAAGTGAGCAAATGCACCAAAGAAGAGGTTGTTTCAGTAACAAAACCTGCTTAATTATACATTTAATATATGAGAAGGTTGGTTGCTGGTTATGTGGAGTGCTATAACTGCTACTCTTTTTAGCAATTTTAGCATTTGTTGTGATTGATAAGAACAGGTAAATATTTCAGTTCTACCAGAATTTGGAATAATCTTGGATATACTTAGCTATATCATTATATGCATGTATAGAAATAGTGTGATCTTACTGGGTTCATAGATTTGATTTCTAAATAGCCATTACTCAATATACACAAAAAAGTGTACTAACAACTGCCAGATAAACTTGTGTTGCCTTTACCAGAAATTTGTGCATTGCTTGTGTCATGGATAAACAGCTGTAATATTGTCTGATTTCTCTATGCAAAAAAATTCCTCTTTATAATTTAATAGCTCTCATTTATTGTATGAGGCATACAATGGAAAAGCGGTGAAGTATTTTTAAAGTGAGTGGTTTTATTTTTTTCTGCAGTGTTAGATGCAGCTTTGTGAAGCAGTTTATTTTTCCCCCTCTTTATTGGGATTCTATTGTACTGACGTTGCATTAAAATGCCTTTCAAATTACTTTCTCATTCAGTGAAATGAAATTAAAACAATACAAGTTCAATCTGTCATTATACAGTATAATCAGAGCTGAAAACTTGTTTTATGTTGAATTTCTAGAAGTAATTATGTTTTTCTTTTTCTTCTAATTTATTGTGTTGTAAGAATATCGTACGATTGTGAAATGCATACTTTGTTACAAACATGAATCTTTTTATCTTTGGATTGGAAATGCAGTGATCTCTGGAGCTTTCTGTTACGATGTGGTTTTGGACAGTAAACTGAATGACTGGAAACCAACAAACGTAAGTGCTTTTCAGGCATAAACCCAAAAACTTCTATAGCTTGTGTCCTTGTAAGTTGTTCTTTTTTGACAGGGGAGAAGAGACAGAGCTTTTTTTCCAAAGAGTAGTCTTTGGGAGCTGATCTCTGCATTTACCCCACACTGGTGCTCTGACAGAGTGCTCTCACATTTCCTTTCAGACAAAAATAAACCTTGTGCTGTCTTCCACATGCTTTCAGGCTTTAGGTTTGTGGAGCTAGAGAAAAATTCTAGTCTGAGGTACAAGTTCAGAAACAGTTGATAGAGCTGTGGGCCTCAGTGCCATATTTGTTACTGTACAGATCTGTTTCTCCTCAGCTGCTCTTGCCTGGTAATGTAGATGCAGCCACAGTCTTTGTGTGAGTAGAGTCTCTGAAAATAAAAATGTGTATAAGGCATATTTTCTGGGGGTTTACAGCAGAATCAGTTTGCTGTTGAATCTAATTTGCGAGCACATTGAGCTGCAGCTCTCCTTAATAGCTTGCTTATGTTTCATGCTCTGCAATAAATCTTATAATCTGAATGCTCTAAATCTCAGAACCATTTGTGATCACAAATGTTTTACCCATCTGGGGCCCATTCTTGTTCTTGTGTCCAAAAACCATTTTTTGTATGGCCAGCAAAACAAATTGGTACAATGCAGAATTTTTCTTCAATATGATCTTGTAGCTGAAGTAATTTAATTAGAAATATTTTCTACATGACATTTTAAATGTAATTCCACCTCATAACAATTTCTTATTTATGAGTAAATCTGAATTACGCAGAACCTCAGACTCTGGTTCAAGGTGACAAATTTTTATTTATTAAATGTTTAGTACCTTTTTTTAGCTTTGATCTATCATAATAGAGCTTATTTATAAGTGAAGACACTACTCTGGGAAACAAGATTTGTAGATGAGTATTCAACAGTAGCAAGACTGTGTATGTAGTACCATGTAGTGAAAACCTTGTATTAAACTGCCTACGTGGGCAGTTTAATTAATCTATATTGTTTTTGATTGAAAAATGCCAATTTCTCATTGAAATGACTGGACATCGATTCTGTCCATTAAAACAGTGATGATCTGTAGTGCTCTTAAGATAATAGTAAGACACTCTTGCAGTAAAATTACTGTATTTAGGGTTTATAGTAGATGATCTGTGTTGCTTTGACTAATATTTAGTGTTTGCTGTGCTTTATCTGCTCACTACAGCTGTGAGAAGGTGGTTACAGTTTTCGTGTTCTTTTATTAGGACAACTTCCGTTCTCTTACAAGGGATGCCAAAAAGCTGATCCATCAAGACCTGCCCTTTGAAACACTGCATGTTGAAGCAAAAGTAGCACGTGAAATGTTTCAGCATAATAAGTGAGTGAATTTGCCTTTCTTTCAAAGGGGCAATTCCAAATCAAGTCAAATCTCTGCTTGGTTTTATAAATCTCAAATAAGATGTGATGGGTGAAGCAAGAAGGTACTTCTCCCCTGCTCTGAATGAGCCTGCCTCCATTCTCCTCCCAGCAACTTACTCACACCAACTTAATTAGTTCTCGTTGTTCTCTTCAGAGGCCAACACCAGGCACCTCTACTGGATGTAGTTTTGTGACAAACTGAAAGACTGAGGGTTCTTTTGTTCACTAGTGAGCTTCAAGATTCAACTACTATTAAATTGAAACTCTGGTGGTTAGCCTTGACATGGTAGCCTTTTCTGAAAGGCTTCCATATTTAAAGAAATGTATATTTTTCATGTCCTGGTATCTTCAAATGAAGATTTAATGAAATGCAGTTTTTGAATTGTGCAGGGATAAAATACTTTGGTCTGTGCTATGAAAAAAAAGGTTTGTTCAAAACCTCCTGTCTTCTTTGCTGAAAAAAATATCTCAGCCATGTTTCTGGTCCACAGCTTTTTTGGCAGTTGGAGAGATGTAGGGGAAAATGAGAAATAATTTATCATTTTGTGAACCAAAATTAATCTACAATGAAGCTAAAGTTGCAAAATAGCAGATTTTTTATCTTAATGCTGAAAGTAATTTTAATGTGACATAGGGATCATCATCTCCACTTTGTTGGCTGCATTGACAGTAGGTGGGAGCTGACTTTTGATGGTACTTTTATATTGTGTATAGAAAGCACAGAGAATGCTTACTTCCCTGTATTACTGTTAAGGGCTACACATTGCATCAGGTCAGTTTAGGTGGTGTCATGGTGACTTCTAGTCTTTCAGGTGACCTGAAAAACTCTTATTTGTAGTAGTAGTAGGTCCATTGTATCTTTCTGAATAAAACTGCTGTGGGAGCATAGCCCTCTTATAAAATATGCACAGAATAGACTGGAGTACATGTTTCAATGGGAAGGGAAACATGTACAACAACCACCTAGTTCAGCTGCCTGACTGATGTGGGGCTGACAAGTTACAGCAGGTTATTAAAGGCATTGTCCAGATGTCTCTTAATCAGTGACAGGTTTGGGGCATCAACCACCTCTCCAAGAAGCCTGTTCAGTGTTTGAGCACCATCTCCTAAGGAAATGCTTCCTGGTGTCCAGTTTGAGCTGCCTCCCAGCACAGCATTAAATCATTCCCAAACATCCTGTCTCAGGATCCCATGTTGACTGTGCCTGATGATTGCACTATTTTTAAAGTGCCTTTCAGTAGTTCTCAGTAAAATCTCAGTAATTTTTCCATGAACTGAGGTTAACTAACACGTCTGTTAATGAAGCACGTCAGTATGTGTTCTCATTAGGAATTTAAACCAATCTCAAAGCTCACATAAATACAAGCATGATTTTTAGGAATTTTAAATGAATTAAATTAGTTTCTGAAGTGCTCTTATAAGAGCAAGGTGTTAAAGGTGAGGATTTTTAAATTTTTTTTTTCTCGTCCAGATACAAAATGGAGATGATAGAAAGAAGAGCTGCTCAGAATATGGAAGGAATTGTACCATTACATAGGTAAGCAAAACTGCCCTCCCATTCTGTAATGATTCACTGGAACATTTGAGTATATTGCAAGTACTCTCTGCAAGTGAGAAGAGCCAGTTACTTGGGATGGTTTTAAATTTAAAGATCACTTGTATTCATTACTGTCTGTGGTGTGTCTAAAGTTGCTAGTGTGGTTTCTTTGCTTGGTTTTTTAAATATAACCATTATTTTGTGATACTTTGTGATCCAATGTTTCTATTTCTTGTTATGTTAAGGATGGTAAGTGCCAGAGAAGTCTTACTGTTTTCAGTGCTTTTACATGAAAACAAAATAAATCTCTAGAGCTTGACAGGCTAAATAAAACACAAACCAAATACTGGTTTGAAAGCAAGAGTTAGCATTGTATAATGGATTTTTCTTTCAAAGTTGTCAAGATCTTCCTAACTTGCAATCTGCTGCTTTGTAGTGGTGGAGATGAGAACAGAACAGCATCCTGGGGATACAGTGTAAGATACAGAGTTCTTAGTCTGGAGGCAGGATAAGTGCCTGTATCTCAGACAATTCTCTGTCCTAGGCTGTTGTAGGATATTCGGTTGTGAAGATGTCTAAAGAGTTCCTAATTTGTTTTTGTTCCACCTTGAGGAGCATCATCTATCTAAAGGAACAGATGTTTATACAGTGGTGGTTCTTGAAATTTTAGAACAATGTTGTGTCATTCATTCCTTCATCCCACTCTGATCTGCTCAATAAAGGGGAAAATGGGCTTACCTATTGCTTTTTAGGAGAGGTTCATTCTCAGTATTTCTTTGCTGTACTATGCTGTTTCTCTTTTCTTAATTGATTTGCATTTTTCCAAGAACTGGAAAGAGAAGTACCTGTGCAGGTTGTAAACACTGTACTGTGGAAAACAGGTGATCTTGGAGACAAATCTTTTTCTGGTGAATGACAGTTATCCCAATTGTAGAGCCAACATGGCATCAAAGACTTTTTAAACCTAAGATCCTTTCCTAGACTTGAGGTTTTAATTTTCTAAGTTCATTTAAGGAAATTGTGTGAGCTGTACTTTTGGTTTAGGAAACTTAAAAATGCTGAGCTGGAGATTTGTTTAGATTTGGTTTGGGATTTGTGTGGACTTTCTTTCTGTTAATTGGAATTTGCTAATCAAAAATAAAACCTCATCTCCTTGTATTTCACTCCAAATGCATTTGGCCTGTAAACTGGGTTTTTTTTCATCTCCCCAGGTTTGGTGACTTCGTAGATGTTAGTGAAGGTCCTCATATTCCAAGGACAAGTTTCTGTTTCCAGTATGAGATAACAGCAGCCCATAATCTTCAGACTGACCAGTCTGAATTGATAAGGAGATTCCAGGGTGTGTCCTTGCCAGTCCATTTGAGGGTAAGCAATCCATTTTGCACAGGTTTTCCTTCTTTAAATTAGAGCATTTTACCGTTGTTTCCATTTTGGTTAGGTGCTCTGTTGGTAGCTAAATGGAATTCATAGTTGAGAGCCGTAGAAAGGGAGGCCCCTGATGGTGACTGTGTTGGATATTTGGGGTTCATTTTCCTGAAACAGTTGTGGATGTGCAGTCAGAATTAGAAAAGTTTGCATGAGAGGGCCCATAATGTTATTTTTTAGTATGGAAGGTGTTGTTTTGGTTGTATAATTCCTGCATGGATATTTCATTCTGCTTGCCTAAGTTGTGCATGCCAGTCTTCTGACATCTAGGCTACTGACAGTGCTTAAAAGAGCAGAACTATGTGTTTATACTCATGATAAATACACCATTCAAAGGATTTCATGACACCAAAGTAAAAAGCAGCAACAGTAAAAAATGTCCTAGCTCTAATGAGTCTTAAACAAAGAACTGAAGGTGGAGGCAGAAGTCTTTATTCCCATTTGTGTTGACTTTCATGATTTTGACCTTATGATCTAGCACATGTACTATTGTCTTAGTTGGGGAACTTTTCAAGGGTTCCTCAGCTGATCTCTGTGTTCCCTTCCTAAGCATAATTCCCTTTTTTGCCTATTAATTCCTCAAGGATTCCACACAGTGGGTGAATCATAGAACCATAAAATGGTTTGGGTTAGAAGGGACCTTAAAGTTCCTACAGTTCCAATTCCCCTTCCATGGGGAGGGCACCTTCCACTGGACCAGGCTGCTCAGAGCTGCCTTCAACCTGGCCATGAGCACTTCAGGGATGGGGCATGTGATGGGTGGACATTTATTCAAATCTCCCACATGAATATGGGCAAATTGGACACCAAAATTATAAGTTGTTAAAACGGAACATTTGAACTGGGCATTAATATGGTTTTATGCTATCTTTTCTATAAATTTGTCAAATCTATTCTGTGATAAGATTATTTTTTACCTCTGCTAACATCATTTAATGACATTTCCCACAGGCTCACCACACCGTGTGGCACAAACTGGTGGAAAGATCGAAGAGGCTGGTAAGTCTCACTAGAGGTGAAGTACAGGTTACCAAATACAAAGGTATGCTCTGATAGAGGACACTTTGAATGATTAGAGGTAGGTAGTATACTCAAGAACATATCTTTAAGAATGGAAACATTCACAGGTGAATGGAAATGAGAAATCTAACTGCTTGTTTATTAGAGGATGTGCTAACACTGTCTGAGGTCTGTTATTTAAGAGCATTGCACCATTTAAAAAACATACACTAATTGATTGATATGATTTCTCCAATTAAAAAATAGTTCAAGGTAAATGGAGCTATAAGATATTATAACCCACATATAACCAAATAACCAAGACATATTTAAACATAGGAAGTCTTTGTAAGAATTAAAGAGCAGCTTGTTGTAGAGCTGCTGTAGAGCCTTTTGATCAATAATTTTACTTACTTGTTTGGCAAGAGACAGAAAAACATGTACTTCATGTCTTCTGAAACTTGTTAGCCATGATATGTTCTGAGCCTGCCCCATGGCATCTTCCCTGAACTTAGTTTGAATATTCTTGTTCTTCAGGTTGTTTAATTTTGGAGAAGATAATAGTCTTTGTAGATTGTCCTTTCTTGTTACAGTGACAGTATGAGGGGAGGATTTTCATGATCAAGGAGAGTGAAATAATTTTTAAAAATGTAACAAAATTGATATCTTTCTGCAGGTAACTGAAGAAGATTATTTGGAAACAGCAGAACAATGTCTTGAGGCAAAAGATGGAACTGAAGAAGCAAAACCTGTATCAGTTTAAATTAAGTTGAACCTCTAAATGTACATAATAAAATGTGTCTTTTTACATAACTTGTTGCTGCCTCTTACAAAAATGTCTTGGGTAATTAATTTGAATTCTGTGACGTAAATCATAGATAAGTATAAACACAGGTATATTCAAAATATTTCAGTCCACTTTAAAGGTTTCCCTAAAGAAAAAAAGGGCGGGTGGAAGGAAGTTAATTTTTAATCTGCAGTAACTTGCAAGTTGCCCCTGACCTTACCTTGACAACAGTAATTGCATGTGTCCATCCATATGTTGGTGCCTACTGCAACCAAAAGTTGAGACAAATGGTATCTTAAAAAGATACCCTTAAAAGTATGTAAAAGTATAATTGCCATTGCTTTACCAATACAAAAATAGTAGAATGTAAAAGCCAGAAAGTTCTTGGAGTTTAATGATTTCTTTCTGCTGCACAAGTGCTGTTAAAGATAATTTTCCAGAATAATACCAAGAATTTAGTTCATTACTTTGATCCCTAGTGTACTAAGATTTATTATGCATTTTCTTTTTTTGATATTTGAATATGGTGACTTCAATTAAATTTTGCAAGGGGGTTTTGTTAGATGATGTTTTCTGATGTTTTGTATTTTCATCCCTAACTCATTAGAACTGTTCTCATTATACCAGAGGAAATTTTGATTACTTTTTGAAGTGAAAATATTTTCTCTGAATTTCATCCCAATTATTATTTTTACCATTAACTGCATCACATTAACTATTCCTAATCAGTTGACACCACAGTTTTGTGAGAGCAGGGTAAAGTGAGTTCAGTAAAATACATTTAGGTATAACCCATGTCTTCTCAGGATACTTGGAAAACGGATGGGTTTTTTTCCTCTTGAGTAATGTTGCAGAGGACAGTCTATAATGGTACTAGATGCTTATTTTTTTAAATAAGATTATTGATTCAAAGTTTACCTTCAATGCACACATATGCATTTACACATTCTGTATATTTTCATTGAATTGAACTTGCTGGAGTGTACTTGGGCTTTGAACCTGTTGTTCTGGTGCTGTTGAAGAAGAAACACAGAAGTTTGCTGTTTTTGTTGTTTGGGTTTTGTTGTGGTTTTCTTTTAGTTTTGCTTGGTTGGGTGGTTTTTGTTTGTTGTTTAATGTAGTACTTGCCATCTTTGACTGGTGAAATATTGCCATCTGAATTTTGGAATCCAGTCCAGGTAGTCTGTTTTGAACCTTAAGCTTGCTCTATTGCAACCCAGAAAGGCCCCTGATGTCTGCTTGCTATTTTGGGTATCCAGAATTCCTCCAGGATTCCACCAGCTGCAGAGGAAGGTGAGATGGCTGCTATCACTTAGGAATATACCTTTTTTAACACTGTCTGGAATTTCACAGTTTTTCTGCTATGTTCTTTTTCGGGGGGGCTGGGAAGAGGGGTTTTTTGTTTGTTATATTTGGGGTTTGAGTTTTATTGGTTGGAGCAGCAGGAAAGTCACCCCACAGGTGAATCCCCACAAAAGGGACTTTTGCAAGTGTGCAATTACAATACTGAAAATGTTGACGTCTGTAGCAGACCCTTCCCTGGAGGCTGTGCATAAAATGGTGGAAGCTCAAACTTCTATAGAGCTCTGTGCTATCTCACACCTTGATTTCCATGGGGTCCAGAAGACAGGTCTTCCTTAGGGAGAGATGCAGCTGGAGGATGCCTTTGAAAAGCACCAGGATCCTTGCAGGGCACAGCAACAGTTAAGAGAACTGGGCAGTAGTGTTCATTTCCTTCTCACCATAGTGCATTTGGAAATAGGAATGTAGATCAAAGTCTGTTCTGCCAATATGGGATTCAGAGCCACATGTACAGAGAAGAACATCTGTGGTTTTTGGGGGGATGCCTCATACGGTACTTTGAGTACTCCCTGCCTGATCTGTATTAAGTGATGGCACTGCTGGAAAAGTCCTGAACATTTCTTGAACAAGTGTGAGAACAGATGGAAGCAGTGCTCAGTTCCCCCGGCAGCCAGAGAGCAGCCGGGAGATAAGACCCGGGGCTCAAGGCCATCTCTTTTACCATTGACTGTTGGTGCATAAAATGCTGAAATTGTCTGCTGAGAAGGCTGTTGCAGCAGCTGAGCTAGACTGATGCTTCCTTTCTCTTTTTGACTTAGTTTGGAACTTCAGCTGAGCTGCAGAGTGGTTCCAGCCTGGCTGGCTGTTTGGGGCTGTGCTCAGGGACATACCTGCACCTATCACTGTATTCCAAACTTAAAGATGTGGGGTTATATAAAATACCAAAATGGGTATGGTGAAGCTCTGACTGAGTGTGGATTCTGGATGTTTGTGCACTCTCCTGCCCTCCCTGGGGCCTGGCCCAATCTCCATTGGAAGTAGTCAGAAGACACCATCATTGATCAGTTCAAAAAGAGACAAGAAAGTAGATCTTATTTTCTGTACTGAACTCTATAGGAAACTGCAAAGATTAGAGGTGGATAGATTGGCAAAAGAGATTGCAGAATTTAGCCAAGTTCCCTTCTTGGCTATTTCTTTTTATTAAATTTCTGTGTGTAAAGAGGCAAATTTTCCTCAGCAAAACAACTGCAGAACCAGCTAAAAGTAAGGAAGTATCTAGGAGGACATGATGCTGCAAAGTGGAGAAAGGGGAGGGCAGGGTAACTTAGGCCAACATACATGAGCAGAAGCTGATACTGGCCAGTTCTGATAAGGAATAAATAGGAATTTTTTTTATGGTGAAAGTGGTGTGACACTGGAATATGTTGTTCAAAGAACTTATGAGCACCTCAGCCTTGGAAATGTTCGAGGTCAGATTGGATGTAGCTTGGTGCATCCTGATCTAGTGGAAAATGTCCCTGTCTGTGGCAGGGGTGCTGGAACAGGATTATCTTTAAGGTCTCTTTGAACCCAACTCATTCCAGGATTCTGTAGTGACAGGGGAAAAGGCCTGAAGCCTTCTTCCTTGTTGCAGATCTCAGCAGTAGTTTCATGGCTTCTCCTATTCAAGTTGTTCCTCCTTCGGCATCTTGTTTGAAAGAGTTGAAACTTTTAATTTTTCCCTTTTCTTTACTGGTTTTATCCAAAAAAAGAAAAACCTATATTAAGGTTAAAGCTACGTGGTATCTTAATCCTAAGAGGTGGCAGTAGGAAGGTTGAGCAGTATCAGCTGACGCATATAACTGAGAATTTTTTTTCCAAAGAAATATTCTGTATTTCATGTTATTATGGATTTTGGAGATAGAAGAGGCAACTGGGAGATAGTATGACTTATTTCATAACAGAGGGAATTCAATGCTAAGAAAGAGTTTTTTGGGTTTTTTTTCATACCAGGCAGTAAAGGTCTTCCCTGAGAAATTGAACACATGCAAGTGATGAAAACAATTATCAGTAGACATGAAGTCCATTCATGGTAGCAGCCAGAACAAGTTTCCCTTTCAATTTTAACTTCTGTCAAGGAGTAATCTACTGCTTTTTGGTAACTTATTTAGCACTATTCCACTCACCACAGTACTTTGTTATGTTTGAAGCCAGTGAACTTGCTACATTTATTTTATTAGTTTTTACAGACACAGGAACTTGGCAGCATAAAGGTGTTTGATGGGAAGAGTTATCAGTGGGTATTTCTTGAAGAACACCAACCATCTGAAAATGGTAATGCTATCATGCTGTGGTTTTTCACAAGACTTAACCCCAGTCATGGACAGCATTAACATTTTTTCAGAGTGAAAAGAAAACCTATTATTTTAGTATCTGCTAATATAATATCTATAACCTAACCATATCCACTTTTCTGGGGAACCAGCTATGCAGAAAGAATACACATAATTGGTCTAACATTTGACCGTATTTATAATAGGTATCTATTTCTTAAGTTTGCAAGTTACTCACATTTTAAAGAGATAAAATGTGAGGGAACAAATACTTGATTTTTATGGCATGACCATGAATCAGGATGGTGAGGGGAAAAATCTGTTTTCTTCCTTAAGACACCTTCTATTGACACGTGTCTATACAGGATAGACACTCTGGGATCATCTTTGCTTCAGCAAACCAGTGCTGCTGAATGTGGCCTCAAATGGACAGGGAAATGAAACTGAGCTTCAGTGTCATCCAAGAAATGAGATTGTCTCTGGACTCTCCTCTCTTTTGCCACAATTTTCTTCCGGGTTTTAAAGCCATTTTCTCTGGAAGTTTAATAGGAATATGCTTTTCTTTACCAAAATATGCTGCACCACTTTGGGAATTCCCTCTCAGAGGTAAGGCTATGACTTTGGAAGGGATAAAAGTGGCTTTTCCTTTTTTGTGGGTATGGCTTCCCAACTGGATGCATCCAGGGGAGCCACTTAACCTGGAGCCTGATTTGGAAAACATTTATGCCCTGCAGCAGTTCTGTCTGAGTGTAAAAATCACTTTTGATGAGACTCTTTGTATGGGACACTTATTTATGAGGCCATTGATTTGTAAGTTTCTGTGGTCTTGAGTGCTCTGTGATCATTCCTTGTACTGGGGATTTACAGGGAGAACCTTGCTAACAGAAAGGTTTTCATATTGATACATCACAAACATTAACCATATTTCTTAATTTATGATGAGTACTTTGAGTTTTTTAGTTTTCCCTTTGTTCTTCCATCAAATTAATGTTTCATAGCTAAACTATTCCCTAAGCAGATTTAAGTAGAGATAAAAGAGAGTTTTCAGGACTGACTGTGTCACTCACATTTTGTGACTGTGAATATTCAGGAACTATTTTGACCTTCCATAAACATAACATACTTTCCTGTTTCGCTACAATTTTCTAAGACTTCTTGAAGTTTGTAATTCATAGGTAATCCTAAAGTAAACTAAAGATACTTTCATTTTCTCCTAATGACCCATTGACCCATTTCTCCTAAAGAACGTACAATGGAATATCAAGGAAACATTTTCTGTCAGTTTTTCTCTTACTTATAATTAAATTCTATAGAAATTAGTAGAAGTTGCACACGCCAAGAGTTTAATGCATAATTTTTCTTTCCTAAATAAAAATGAAGAAATGAAATATTTGTGTAGGAAGTAAAACC